GTATGTATGTATGTATGTATGTATGTATGTATGTATGTATGTATGTATGTATGTATGTATGTATGTATGTATGTATGTATGTATGTATGTATGTATGTATGTATGTATGTATGTATGTATGTATGTATGTATGTATGTATGTATGTATGTAATGTATGTATGTATGTATGTATGTATGTATGTATGTATGTATGTATGTATGTATGTATGTATGTATGTATGTATGTATGTATGTATGTATGTATGTATGTATGTATGTATGTATGTATGTATGTATGTATGTATGTATGTATGTATGTATGTATGTATGTATGTAATGTATGTATGTATGTATGTATGTATGCATGTATGTATGTATGTATGTATGTATGTATGTATGTATGTATGTATGTATGTATGTATGTATGTATGTATGTATGTATGTATGTATGTATGTATGTAAGTGTAAGTGTAAGTGTAAGTAAGTAAGTGTAAGTAGTAAGTAAGTAATGTAATGTAATGTAAGTGTAAGTAAGTAATGTAATGTAATGTAATGTAATGTAATGTAATGTAATGTAATGTAATGTAATGTAATGTAATGTATGCATGTAATGTATGTATGTATGTATGTATGTGCATGCATGCATGCATGCATGTATGTATGTATGTATGTATGTATGTATGTATGTATGTATGTATGTATGTATGTAATGTATGTATGTATGTAATGTAATGTAATGTATGTATGTATGTATGTATGTAATGTATGTATGTATGTATGTAATGTATTATGTATGTATGTATGTATCCTTGCACTTCCCCTTTGCTCCCCAGTATTTCCCGCAAAAAAAACACGGTTTTTCCAGCGTTTTCGCAAAGAGGACGTCCAAAAACATTGAGTTTTTCCAGATTTTCGGCAAAAGGATGCAGGAAGCCCAAGCCAGCAAAAAAGCCGGCAGGGGGAATCGAGCCTGGGACCCCTGTTTTGCGACACCGGCTCCCCGAAGACTACGTTTAGTGGAACGTCATCAAATTGCCGCGCGGTACGTGGGGGACCCCCCCCCCCCCAAAAAAAACCTACGTAATAGACGTCGGGCGGGGGGGTTAGGGGGGGGGTTATCCTCTATCCTCTAGTAAGTATCCGACACGCCGAGCAATGTCGGCGGACTCAGAGAGGCTGTCAGCTCCAAGGCCCAATACTATAACCACGCCCGGGGCCTCGGACCTGAGGTGGAACCTGGCTAGAGGCCCTGGCAGATTTCCCTTTGAAGGGACTTCCATGTCATTCAGCGGGCTTTGCCCCTTTTGTTGTGGATGGGTTTCCCTACAGATTAGCCACCAAAAGCGGCGGTATAATTACTTATAATTGCCCAGGGAATTGCCCATAGCCACTGAGCAAGTGGGGCAAGGGGTTCATGGCCCCTTTGTTTGCTCCCAGATCTTTCGAGGGTCATTTCGGCGTACTTCCGCCCCATGCGGCCCCAGGTTCACGGCAGATGTGGGGTGCGCAGTTTTGGAGAATCCACCCGCCAAAGCGGGGTTCATGTTCGAGTAGAAAGCACATAGCTGTTGCACACGGACATCCCGGGACTCAGACAACTTGCGGGAGCTCGGACAGGGAGCATCAGGGAGCTGTGTAGTGTTGCTTGGGCCCCACGGAGGCTCCTGGAGTTACTTTGCAGAATCATGGTGTGGGTGAAAACCAGAAGCCCCTCGAAATGGTGGAACCGTTGCTTCGTTTGAAGCTGTCCCAAAAAGGCGCTTGGCCCGTGAATTCGACTCCCTGTAAGACTTTTCTTTGAGAATTGCTGCCTTATCCAGGGGGTTTGTATGGTGGACGCTTCGAGATGATGTAAGCAACGTCTGCCTTGGGAGAGGAGGTCAAGCTGCTGAATTGGGGTAAATCCCACTTTGTGTTCGTTCCCAACTTGCAATTATTGCAATTGAGGAAAATGAAAGAAGCGTCCGCAGGCGAAGCTTTTTTCGGAGCAGCAAGAAGACCAGGCGGAGTACGTGAAGGAGGCCTGAATGCATTGGTCTCTTTGGGGCCACTGAATGGATAAACATGGTTGTGACCCACATCAAACACCCAAAAAAAGACACCTCCATCTCCCCAAGCCCAATGTGCGCTCCAAGCCGAGCCATCCAGCCATGCCTGAGGCCTTGAGCAGCGAGTCCGAAGACCGAGCGCTGCTCAGGCGGCAAGAACGCTTCGGTCGGGGCCTCAGAAAAGCGGGACACGTCAAAAAAGCCAGAATTTCTGGGATCTCTGTTCAAGTGATGTTCTTCCGAGGTGTCAATTGACACCACGTTGCCTCGGCAAATAGCGACCGGACCTCGCATGGTTTATCACATCACTGGAGGTTCGTTTCCTGGGGCTTCATTTCAGGCTCCAACAAAAGCTAAAAACCAGCGGGTGTTTTGAGCCCTCATGATGCTGTTGCCCAGGTCCTGTGAATATGGTGAATCTTGAATTGTTCTCGGCAAAAGCTAAAGTGGAAATCGCGATCAGCATCTCGTGGAGAAGATAGCAAAGCTTGCAAGGCATTTAGGGGTAGGTTTGACGGATGTCCATCTGTTTATCTGTTTGGCGGCTTTCCCTGAAGGGCGCAAGCAGGTGTCATGTGCGAGGTATGATGCCGATTTGGATATCTTTTCCAACAAGGGCTGTTACAAGGGCATGTGTCCAAATGTGGACCCCTCCCAAATGGACACCAACTGATCCAAAACATATTTGGGACACTTCCATCATGGCCGTGTACTTAGGGGTCTGAAGTTTGATTCAACGGGTGATCTTTCCCTCGTGTGTCAACTGATGGCTCGCATTTTTAGTCTCTTGGGAACTTGCCGTTGAGGCCCACCCAGCGATCCCATGTCTCTTGAGCCTTGGTGACACCTTCAGCAGCTACAGGAATAGTGCCCAGCTCATGTAAGCCGGCACCTTGAGTTTTCCTGTGCCAAGCAAGTAACCATTTGCCTGCTCAACGCAACAATCTCAGACAAACGAACCAAGCGAAAATAGATAACCACAGCCGAAATCAGATACTTCTTGCTGTTGTGCTGCGAACACTGGGCCCAAAGCGAAGAGATGCAAAAGATGTCGGCGCAAGTGCCCAAGTCTCCGGACTCCCCACCCTGTGCCTCAGACGCACTCCAAGGCCGGGTGCAGCACGCGCTGACTTGCATCGGCCAAAGCCTGATTTGTTCAGCAGGGGAGCCCAGGAACGAGACTCGCTTACCAGGAGTCCCCACGAAAAAGTCGCGTGTCGTGGGTCAAAACATCCTTAACTTGGGTCATCTACCCCATTCGTGGGGAACTCGGACAATCATCCTACGGGCCACTTTCAAGTGAACCATCCCAAGGCCCTCATAAGGAGTTTTGACCACAGGCCACAAGGAAGAAGGCTAGGTTTGCTTTTTCAGGGCTATCAGCAACGAAGTCCACTCAAACCCGAAAGTATCCGAAAGTGTGCCCTTGGTCAAGCTCATGTTGGTCCCCTGCTGCAACACTCCTTGTTCATCCTGTTTCCATCAGGGCACTCGTTTTGCCGCAGAACCAATCTTGGGGGCTACTAGCCGCTGGATGAATTCTCCTTTGGGTCAGCATTTTGCCTACTGGTTGGTTTCATGTGGCTTCCCTTTGGTTTCAAAAGGTGTCAAGCTGCACGTGTTTCTTTGGCTTGGGTCAAACGCTGCGCGAGCTGCGCATTCCCGCCTTTTGCGTTGTGAAGCTTAAGGCGTCAACCACCGCTGCCTCGGCGATCTTCTTGCTGTGCTGCACGCTGCAGTTCTTTGTGAAGCCGGGGCCCTCGGCTTTCGTTTTCGTCCCAAGAAGAGCTTGGCAATGATTGCGGTGTTGTTTTTGCACATGCGGGTTGTGTTTGGGAATGCAGGGACTCCTTAGGGCTTGAGGATACGTCCGAAGGCAGGCAGAATCAGGTCTGGAGCCTTTGGAGTGCTACCGATGAGGATTCTGTCCATCCGCATGGGTGCAACAGCCCTGGAACCAAAGCTCTTGGCGCAGGTTCGGCGCCGTCATCCTGTCAGTGACCATTTTGTCAGTACTGACGCGGCCTCAGTCTGTTGCATCCTGCAAAGTGTCTAGTTGGGTAAGTTCGGTGGCTCGCAATTTTATCAAAGTTGGTGAATTGCCAACCGGAGGGGTCGCAAGCTTCGAGTCACACAGGCGTACAGCCAGTTGGAAGTTGTGACAACGGCATCCGGGTGGAAACGGCAGTTTCAACAGCTGCGCATTGCGGGGGACCTCCCTTTAAGTGAAGAACTAGTGTGGAAGTCCTTCCACAGTGGGCGATTCCCACAACCCTGAACGAGGGCAATGTCATAATTTCTGGTACCTTTTTCGGATTCCATGAAGAGGAGTCTCAGCATAAATATGAGGTCCAAACAGCGGAATACTCCTCACAGGGACCTACTGTAAAATATGCGGCGGGGCCTTTGGGATTGTCCTCAAGCGGAGTGAATGAGAACCAAATAATTCTTCGGAGCGCTCGAGTTTAGGAAACATCAAGATCTTGCAAACCTATCCGCAACGTTGTAAGGGAATGAACAGGATGTTTATTTTGGCCGTGAATCCAGACAGAGAACGTCTCTTGGCAAAGTGACACAATCCGGCTGTCGCTGTGACCCCAGGGACGATGGTTGCAACTCTGAGGCATTCGCTCCTGTTCTTGCCCTGCCTGCTTATAGCGCGGGCCTCTGGGCTCATGGCCGGTTGGTTTCATGATCCAGTTTTTCGGTTGTCAGAGTGGGCGTTCAAAGGCTCAGGTCTGGGCCACTAGCCTCCAACAAGACAGACGCCACAGGAGGCCCTGAAGAGCAAACCTGCAGTTTCTGTGCCCCTTCTCTCGTTCCGAACTTGCAACCCGTTTGGAATCCTACGGCTTATCTTGGGGGTAGCTCCCTCCCACATGAGACTCCATGAGCCGCAATCAACACCTCGTCTCCAGTGGCCAATCTGTTTTGGTTACTTTCCCAAAAGGACACCCAGAGGGGGTGGCAGCTTGTTTCTTTTTTCAGGCCCCCATATAAAACCGTCACCGCCCCTCCACTGCAGTTATGCGGCCCCACTTCGACATCCTGCGCTTGCCTGCGCCAAGCCGCAGAAGTGATCCGACGCCTGGCTGAAGTGATCGGGTGGGGGGGAGGGGGGGGGGGCGGCGCTGGCGTGTTAGGGGTTGCCCGGGTAGGTGTTGGGGAGCAAGAAAGCGCTGGGTCTTTGGGTTTGCTAGGGCCCAGGGATCCGCTCAACGGATTTCGGCACTTTCCAAAGTTAGCAGCCTTCGCATGAGTGATGTGAGAAGTTGATTTGCATTTCTAAGAGAAGGCCCCCCGCGAACTCTGGGGTCGGCGACTAGGGCTTTGTCCAACCCTCCGTTCCGGCCTTCCAACTTGCCTCGGTGTGGGTGACAAGGTTGTCAACAGGATGGCCCAACGCCACTGAATGCCGGCCCATGATATCGACGGTTTCCGGGAATTATCTAAAGTCTAAGTGGGTTCTTTTGTGCCAATCTACCACTGAAGGGGTGGCTCTGCTGTTCTCGCAGGCGAGAAGATCTCCCCTACACCAGCGCGGTCCTCGGCTTTAGGTAGTCGGTCTTCTGCAACTTGAATGCGTCAGGATCCAAAGACTGGTTGCTTCACGGTAGAAAATGGTGGGTAGAAAATGGTCATGGACTGCCCATATTTCAGCACTCTGAAAATCGGTTGGGATTTGGGACGACCACGATAAGTTTGCGTTTGAGGGAGCCGTCTGACCACAGCCCATTTGGGATCCATTATGTTCGCCCCATCCCCCGGAAGCGAAATTATCAACGAGGGGTATGTATTTTAGTTTTTTGTTTTTTCTCGCTTTTGGCTTCTTGGCTTTTTGGCTTCTTGGCTTTTTGGCTTCTTGGCTTTTCGGCTTCTTGGCTTCTTGGCTTTTTGGCTTCTCGGCTTCTTGCTTTTTGTTGGTTTATGCGGCTTTTGGTGGCTTTGGCTTTTCGCATCCCCTGCATTCCCAGTTCCTCTTCGGCAGGTGGCGTTTTGGCTTTTGCGGCTTTTCGCTGGTTTATGCGGCTTTTGGGGGCTTTGGCTTTTTGCATCCTCTGCTTTCACAGTTTCTCTGGGCTTTTGGCTTTTGCACCTTTCATTGGTTTTTGAATTTGGCTTCCCGCATCATCAGCATCACCAGTTCCTCCCTATTTGAATCATCTCTTCTTCGAACATCTTGGGGGGGGCGGCCCCGTTTAGATTGTGTGCAGAGTAATTGCACCCCTATTTGAATCAACACTTCTTCAATCATCATGGGAGGGGCTGCCGCCCCCCCCCAACCCCCCCGCTACTTTTTTGATTTCTTGCAGAGATTGAATTGCACCCCTAATTGAATCATCACTTTTTCGAGCATCCAATTTCGCGAGAAAATGCTGCAAAATACGACATGGTAGGTATTCTGTGCAATCCATGTACGTCTGTATGTATGGTCTTCTTCGAACATCATAGGGGAAGCCACCCGCGCCAACCCTCCCTCTGCCTTTTAAATTCTATCGCACCCTTTCTTGAATCATTGCACCCCTACTTGAATCATCACTTCTTCCGACATTAAGGGGGGGCTGCCGCCCCCCCCCAACCCCCCCGCTACTGTTCAGACTTTTTGCAGAGACTGAAGTGCACCCCTATTCGAATCATCACTTCTGCGAACATCATGGGGGGGGCTGCCCCCCCCAACCCCCCCGCTACTTCTTAGATGTTTTTTACAGGGACTGAAATGCCCTCCTATTCGAATCATCATTTGTTTGACCCCGTCAACCCGCCAGCTACTTTTCCGATTTTGTTACCCACGATTTGCTGGTCATGCTAGGGATGTTGGTCGGACGTGCGGGGGATGTTGAAAACGATGCTGGGGATGTTGACGGGCTAATCAATTTCGCGAGAAAATGCTGTAAGATACGACATTTTACTGGCCCGGACGAAAAACGAAAAACTAATCCGGGAAACAAATCCGCACCCAATGATCAAGCCCCTCGAGACGTGCAAGGCGGAGCCGGAGTCGGAGGAGCCGGAGCGCACGGAGCCTGGCCCACCCGTGGCCACCGTCGGTGGCCCGGAGTCGGATCTGGATGGCTTGGGCCCTCAGAGACGTTGATGTCGCCGATCGAAAGTTGTGTGTGGCCTTGAAAAGAACGCAGGTCATCAACTGGAGTCCCTGGTTTTTTCAAAGCTGAAATTCTGCATGAGCGCGACATGCATACTCTTGGTGTAAGTCTTTCTATGCCTGCATTTCTGTTGGGCTGATTTTGGGGTGGTGCAAGGCGTTCGTTCCACGTGGTGACTTTGAATGGAATGGAGCCTGATTTCAACCAGTCTAGACCAAGGATACCAAATGATGCCCAGCTGAAGCGAATCTGCTGGTTTGCTGCCATGAGTGGAACATATCATGACCACTTTGCCGGCTTTGCAATATGCCTCGAGGGACCTGGACTCACTGCAGTTGCCTTGTGGATGCAACCCTGAGTCACCCTTTGCGGACAACCTTGGGAGCTCACAGCGATTTCCAATATGCTCCCATCTCAGAAGGAGGTGGTTTGGCATCATTCTGAGGCCCCCTTCTCTTGATTCACTGAGCTTTCCAGGGGAGGGTCAGGACCTCCACAGAAAGGTTCTGGACCTGGATAGGAGACGTTATTGGGTCTCAATTATATAAGTCATATCTTAGTATGTGTTGTTAGTTTGCTTCGTGAATCCCACTGGTGGCGCTAGGAAAGCCGCTAGCTTTGCGCTAGACTTTTGTTCAGCTCCCATGATGCCCATGACTGAATCCTCAAGAGTTGATGCTGCTGTCCGGTAGACATTGTGGTTCAGAGTCACTCATGTTAAGCTTCCCGGTCCAGTCTGCAGCTGCCAATTGGTGAAAAGTTGCGATTTTGGAGCTGGAGATGCCAAAGTGCATGTCGTGTACCACAATTAGACAGTTTGCAAGCCGCCAGCGGGCAAGGAAAGACTCGGCACAGTTACAAAACTCGAGGTAGCAAAGCGGCGGGCAAGCAGCTTGCGTGGGCATTTGCGTAGGCAAGGAAGACGCAAATACGCACGCCTAGGCACCCCTTGCAGTCGCGGAGGCTTGCGTAGGCACTCGCTTTGGCGGGTGTGCAGTGTATAGGCCCCCAGCACCAAAAAGCGGTCCATTTGAAGGAAGCAGTGGCATGAAGGAGCGAAATCCCTGAACTTCTGATCTTCGTCTTGCCTGCCGCATCTGTTGACACCCACAAACATACTTTGCTGCCAGCAAGTAGGCAGCTAAAGAGGCACATCTCAGTCATGGCTGCTGACTTGGAAAAACATTGCAAATAGTCCAGCAATTGGATTGATTTGTGTTTTGATGACTTGCAACTCTTCTTTTGCCGTTAGAGGCGGCACGCTTGGAATGCTGACTCGTTGCGCGTTTCGGGCACAAGCTGTTTGACGAACGCCCACAAATATATATATATATATATATTTTATATGTATGCATGTTAGAGATATTCGTATGTTGTTGTTTGTGCACATTCCCATACACCACAGCATGTTCCTTGCGCCGTCGGGTTTTTGAACGTTGGGTGATGTGCTTGAGTTCCCGTTTCATAGGCCAAGAGAAGCAGCGCGCTTCTCCGCTGCCCGAAGCCCAGATAGAATTCCTTGGGCCGGTCAATCAATTGTGCCATGAAGAGGTAAGTTGGTACAGTGCTCCGCTACCCCATGTCAATTGGGTAGGTCTCATGGGAGCATGGATGTCCTGCTTCGGTCAGTTTGTGTGTTTGGCTGAAAATCCATGGGCTCTCTAAATTTGGCACCTGGTTTGTTAAAAAAGGAGATGCACATGGCAATGACTGGTCAAGTACAAATGCCTAAAGCAAATGGTCGCCATCCCATGTCTTTCTTCTCTCCGCACCGTCACAGACCAGCGGTTGATGTGGAAAGGGATGGGGTTTGGCGGGTTTGTCTCAAGATCAGAGAATTGCCAAAATTGGTGGTTTCCCATTCCTTCTCCCTTTACAACGGGAGAGAAGGAGGGGCCATGGGTGTGCTTTCACTTCTGTCCAAGTTGTTCCCCCTTTGCCGAATGTTCTAAAGAAAGAATTTAGGCAAACACGCTCAGGCTAGTTTTGCAAAGTCGAGATGTGAGGGCCCAATTGAAATGTGCAATTGCAGTTTGCATTTGAAGCTACATCTTGAATACGTACCTCAAATGGTCAAGACTTAAACGCGGCCCTAATAGGGCTAGATGGGCTCCGGATCAATAGGGTGCATTCCTGAATAGGGACAACTGCCTCAAACAGGAAGTTGGGGACTCGCGTCATCACTCGGAGGCCATGTCACAAGTGTGCTTCAGGATTTGGCAAGCTCTGGGAGACGCCCTCAAGCATGGCTGACAGGAATCACACGCATTTCCGACGCCCGATAGAGAGTCCCCCAATCATTCGCGTCCAAATGTCCGGACTCTTGTTTGTTTCGTTTCAAAGGGAGACCAAACGAAAAGCCACGCATGTGGGGTCCAAAACCATTTGACACATCAGAAAGATGCCCAGGAAGTCTCAAGCCGAGGCCCGAAAAGACATCCGGGGAGGTGCCGCCGCTCGTGGGCATCCTGCCCGATGCCCGACATGGAACATGAAGTGGGGGGGCCCTAGAGGAGAATTGGGCAACCTATAGGATAGAGGTCCCTCAGTTTCAGATTAAGGGTATCCAGCGAAAGAAACCGGACTCTCCTCCAAAGCGATGTTACATGTGTCGGTTGACGAATCAAGTCTAAAGCAGAATCTGAAATATTGGGTTTGGTGCAATGGCCCCGCAGTTGGGCCAAGGTTGCAGGAAACCGGTCCAAGTAAGGAGGGGTCCCTTTCAGGTTTCAGGTTTGTTGTTGAAAGGGTAGTTTGTTTGGAGGATTCCACCTACAGTTCTCCTCTCAAATGGGCACAAGGGGATACAATTCTTGCTCAAGGTTGCTTTTTGACTGGCGGACCTCATAGACTCACCACTGTCTAGCAAGCAGCAGCATCAACTTGTTGCACGGGGGGTACAATGTCCAGCCATGATGGAACATGCTGACATTCTGAAACCGTGTTACTAGGTGTTTGCTTCATGACCCTTTTGAACGAGACCTCTTGATGTTTCCTTCAAGTCCGTGAAGTTTGGATAGGCTCCACCCATGTCACCGAGAAGAAGGTCCCTCTCCCTCTGAGGTGCGACGAGGTTGCAGCGGAGGTCGCATCTCCAAAGGCGGCCAAGACACCAAGTTTCGGCCTTGGATGCCCGCGGCGAACAACTCCTAGGTCTAAAGCGGACGTAAATGCCGTTTGTGCCCTGTTGACATTGGTCGATGTGCCACGGGAAGCTTTGTCTAAGCTAGCGGTGTTCGTGGCATTGAAACCCTTCAGAGGCCGGCCCTGGAGTTTCTTGAGTTGACTCCTTTCACGGTCACTCGAAATGGGATCAGAGTCCCTTCATAATAGGACAGCGCGAAGTCAATGGGTTTTAGATGATAGCAGCTTGTCTCGTTGAGCCCAGGCTATGTCCGACAGATGGACAGTCACGAAGAGGAGGTGTGATGGGTTGGAGGCAAGATCTGAGCAGCTCGTTGAGTTTGAGAAGCTTCTTTCTGCTTTAAGATGTGTATTGTTCCCGCGTGCCTGTAAACGCAGGTGATTCCATGTCGACAAGGCGAACACTTGTTGTTTCTTGGTGTTTGATGCAACAATGGGCGGAAGTCAGTCTTGTTGTTTGCCTTGAGCATTGCTGGATGGTGTTTTCCCCAGGATGCGTTTGTTCAGCCATTTAGCCCTGGGAATGGTTGAATGAGACGTGCAGAATTGAAAGCACCACCCAGACTGTAGTAGAGAAGGCGATTTGCCTTTCCTGCCGTTGGTTTCTTGATTTCGGCATGGTGAACAGCGCCTTGCCAAGGACCAACGGGTAGCCTGAATACTCAAAACGGGGCAGTCTTGGAAACCAAGGCATTCCCAACGGCGGCGGCTCCTAGGCCTGCCTGCCCTCAACTTGCAAGTATGGTCCATGGGAACAACGGATTGGCTGACCGGCTCGCGCCTTGGAACCAAGCGTCCTTTTCGCGAGGGAGCGATGTACCTGAGAACCCGTGTTTGGAGGTACGTACTCGTATGGATGCCATGGAACCAATGGAACCGGAGGGGTGCAGAGCGCTCACGACAGGTTGATGCCACGGTCTGGTGTCCGCGCCGGCTTGCTCAGCTTCGTGGGGAATGTCCCGGCCACAAGTCATGGAATATGCTGTTCAACCATGGCCTGCACTCACCAGCCAAGCCCAAGGCGTGCCAAACGAGCGGCAATGCAACTCCTGTAAAACGCGCTTCAGCCGAAACGGCAGCGTCATGCGAGTGCCATGCCAGCGACTTGGCAGCAGGTGGCATCATTGCTCGGAAGCTGATATTTGGTTGCAGACTGGGATGGTTGTGCCACATCATTGTGGGTAGTGCTGGCCCCACGTGTTTCAGTCTTGCAAAGGGTTGTCAAGAATGTTGTGTCGTTTTCTCTGAACCTACTTTGGGGCGACCAAAAGGGGCGGTAAAATAGTATATTTCCTGCAATTCTATATGGAACCCGAACAGAGAGGTACCCTAAAAACAGATTCCTTTGAATATCCATGGATGGTTTTGGGGCGGGTGCCATGTCAATCATCAGTGAGGGGGATCCACCCCTCCTCGCAAGCATGTGGCAAACAGATGGAGGCAAACTGCGAGTTGCGAAGCGACTATCAGGCTAGAAATGCCTTGAAAGAAGTTCACCTGCAGAAATGAAGTATTTCATTCGAGAGCCCACTCAACGCCTCAGGAGGATTCAGCACGTTTTTCGTGACTGGGCGATGCTAGTGAATTAGTTGGAAGGCTGGTCTTTGACCTTAGCCTTCCTAGATGGGCAGTTGTCATAATCGAAGGGGGGCTTTGTGGAATCTTAGTGTCAAGTTGTGCCGCCTATGAACTGGTCCAAAAAGGGTCTGCATGTTTGCAGATATCCTGTATACACACTCTTTTGCTCGAAGGGGAGTGGTATATTTGACCCTCCAAGTTGGTGGTCTGTGAGCAAAAAAACAAAAACGGGGAACTGGTGTTATTTCCACATGTGGAGAACGCAAAGAGAAAGCCCGTTCTTGGTCTCCATTGTGGGAACCCCAAAATATGAACACCCAAAAAGCTTCGCAAGCCGTGCGTCAAATGCATGCTCGGTGCAGGCAAGCGCCAAGGTCTATGCCTTTCTGACCTTCCATGTGAGGCCCGGACCCGTAGGTCCTATTGATAGACAACCAACACCGATCAACCATGCAAAAGCATACAGGCATGCAAACATGCAACCATACAACACACGTTCAAACAGGGACGGATGGGCGGACGGGCAGGCAGACAGGCAGGCAGCAAACGAACAATGAGGCAAACAAGCATGCAAGTAAGCAAGCAAGCAAACACGCAAACACGCAAACAAAAACACACATAAACACAAACACAGACAAAGTCACAGACACAGACGCACAGACACACAGACATAAACACACAAAAAAGAAAAGAAACACACACACACACAAACACAAAAACAGAAAGACAAACACAAACAACAATTCACAAACACAAACACCCACCGATGCACACACACACACACACGCACCCACACACACACACACGCACGCACACACACACACAAACACACACAAATAAATAAACACACCTACACCCACACCAACACCCACACGCACGCACCCACACACACACACACGCACGCACGCACGCACGCACGCACGCACGCACGCACCCACACACACCCACACGCGCACGCACCCGCACCCACACACACACACACACACGCACGCACGCACGCACACACACCCACACGCACGCACACATGCACAAGCGCCCACACACACACGCGCGCACACGCACACGCACACGCACGCGCACGCACGCACGCACGCACACGCACGCACGCGCGCACACACACACCCACACACACACACATGCACGCACGCATGCACGCACGCACGCACGCACGCACGCACGCACGCGCGCACGCACGCGCACGCGCACACGCACACGCACACGCGCACGCGCACGCGCACGCACGCACGCGCGCGTGCGCACGCACGCGCGCACGCACGCACGCACGCACGCACCCACACACACACACACCCACACGCACGCACACATGCACAAGCGCCCACACACACGCGCGCACACGCACGCGCACACGCACGCGCACGCACGCACACGCACGCACGCACGCGCACACACACACACACACACCCACGCAAGCATGCACGGGCGCACGCACGCACGCACGCGCGCACAAACACACAGACACACAGACACACAGACACACAGACACACAGACACACAGACACACACACACACACACACACACACACACACACACACACACACGCACGCACGCACGCACACACGCACACACGCCCACCCACCCACCCACCCACCCACCCACGCACCCACGCACCCACGCACCCACCCACCCACCCACCCACCCACGCACGCACGCACGCAGGCACGCACGCACCCACGCACGCACGCACGCCCACGCAGGTGCGCGCACGCACGCACGCACGCCTGCTCGCACTCACGCACGCACGCACGCCTGGACGCCTGCACGCACGCACGCGCGCCCGCACGCCCGCGCGCCCGCACGCCCGCACGCATGCACGCACGCGCGGAAACGCGCGGACACGCGCACACACGCACGGCAACGTCATTTGGCGTACGACCACCTTGTGAGGGAAATGGTTCAAGGGCTAACGGAGAGTAGAAAGATGGGGCTCTCTCTTGTTTAAAGTTGAGGTGTTTGTGCTCCAGAGACAGCCCACTAAGGATCACGTGAGTTTGTTGCACTTCACCTTACGACCGCAGCGTGCTAGGTTCCTTTGCCCGTTGTTCTTAGCTGGTTCCTTGTTGATCCACTGGAAATTGTGTCCATTGCAATCTGGGCCGCGCATGCTTCCAATGCTTGTGATCCTTCCGAGAAAAGGCGTTGCCTTTGGCCGTTTTACAGCTACCGGCTACATACGGATGTTTGAGACACCATTTAGGGTGTATCCGGATCAGACTCCTCAGGACCCTTTTGCTCTCAGGGTTTGCGTACCTTTTGCATATTTTCCTTTTGGACCGAGAAGAAAGTTGGCCCCCTAGTGGGTGTGTGCAGAAAGCGACCCTTCTCGAGAAGGTTTCAAAGGAGAAGGGGGTTCCATTTATATATATATATATATATCCCTCACGCGTGGCACAGGACGGGGCGCTTGGCCGCCTTCTGCGAGGCCTGCGCAGAGCTGCTGGAGGCATCCGCCCATGACCGGGGCCGCCTGAGGCGCCTTGGGTCGAGTTTGAGTTTGGGTGCGGTGTGGTAGGAAGCGGCGTTCGGAGGGTTCGAGACATCCTCCATCAAACCAAGCGAAACTACTGGATCCGGCACTTGACATACTCAAAGTCAGCCTCTAACTAATGGTTTAAAGGAAAACCACCAGGTCCAAACATCATTTAGAGGACCTCAAAACGCAATCACCTTGAAGGATCCTCCTCAATGACAGGGCTCTCCGGGCCGGGTCAAGCAAAATTCTTCCTCCTACACAGTTACAATCCCTCCCCCCGGGATACTCCCCCCTGAGGTTGGAAATTGGGGGTCCAAGCGGCCCCGAATATGAACCTCGTACGTCCCAGATATGGATCTATTCCGATGAGGTGCCAAGTGTAGATGTAGAGGTCGAAGACCACATATATTAAAGCAGTGTTTGGTTCCCAATGGAAACAAATGAGCGCAAGTACCACAATTCGCAAGGAGGTGAAAGCTTGTTCACTGTAGTTTATGATCTCACCAGGCCTTGAGCCAGCGGCAATGGATAATCCACATGGGTGGATCTGTGGAATCAACGCAGAACAAACAAGCAACACCCCCTGCCCCGCCGCGCGCGAACTAACGCCGGAGGATGGCGTTTCACCGGGAGCTGCCCTGGGCCCGCTCCATCTCCACGGAGGAGAGGTCCGGCAGGTCTCCCGACGTTCGAGAAACAAAAAAAGAATGGGTGATGAAACATTGTCAAGATCAGCTGACCATTGAGATGAGAACGACATGAAGCTCCACACCTGACCCACTGAACAAAAACAATGCCAGAGTTGCATTTGCAAGAATGCGCAAGTGAGAATTCGGTGGGGTGGTTGTTGGGGTTCGGGTCTCGGGCAGGTGTCTTCTTCATTGGCCGTGTGTCAAGATGAGTGGGACCTCGCTTTCTGACCAGCTCTCAGCAGAAGCAGACTGTTTATTTGGAGGGGTGGACCCCCCGTCGTTCAAGTGACAGCGTAGCAACTCTGCTGCACAATCATGGCATTAGGGCAACTCAAGTCACATGCTGCAGCCCCGGATCAACATCAACCAGAGGCGAGTGAATTGCGCGTTGACGGTGGCGAATCCACTTTGAAACAATCGGTCCAGATTCAGCTCAGGTGATTCACCTTTCCTGGGGGGGGATTGTCCATGGCGATCCAGCTCCAGCATACGTTGCGTTTCTGTGGGTAGTGGAATGAGAGTCCTTGACGGTTTCCAACCCACTCCGGGCATGGGACGAGCGATTATCATGGAATCTAGCCCCCAGAAAGGGTCAAGGGCATAGTGGGGACTTTTGGCAAGTTAACCGTGTGTGTGTGTGTGTGTGTGTGTGGGGGTGTAGGTGGTTTTAAAAAGGCGCGTTGGCGCATTATTAAGTTTGTTTCTTCCAGGGCTTGGCACGGCTTTCAGTCTCTTTGCTTTCAGGTTCTTAACATCGCGCTCTGGGCCATGTTGAATTGAGTTTGCTTGGGCTGGCTAAAGCTGTTTAGGGGGCGTGTCAAGCCAGGGGACCTTCAAAATGAAATGTTTCTCTTGGTTTACCCTTCAGACTTGCCCCAAAAAGAGTACACCCATGTAACGAGCTGTGCTTGAATCAAGCAGCAGTCGGCTTGTCAGGAGTTCACTCTGCTGATGATGGAGCAGACCTGGGAGACAAGCGCAGACCTAGAGCTCCACGCGTGCCAGCCTCCCAGTTGGGGAGGGAAATCTCTTTCAGATGGTTTGCGAAGGGATACCTGGAGCGGAGCAAACTAACTCATGGCATCAGCGAGCTGTAATTTGCAGCTTGCCAACCAGGAGATGCGCACAACATAGACTCGATGCCTTTGGGGGGGAGCCTTGAACAGTCACATGTAGTTGAACCCCCCGGCTTTCCAAGGCTTCCGTCGCTTGGGAAGGGTTGCACAACTCGGTCGGGCAATCCCCTCAGCACCCGGGGTCCAATTGCTCGAAGGATCGGATTTGGCGTTTGCTGTTGGGTCCTTATTCGGCTAGGCTCCCCGCATGCGACCGCCTTCAACGCAGCAGTGATGTCCCAGAGGAGAGGGCCAACCGGATTGTCTGACGATGTTTTCATGACGGAATATGACGGATGTCGGTGTTTTTCATCAGTTTGGTAAAGGCCCAACAAGATGAAGCGAGCCAAGTCAGCTTGTCAGCTGTGGTGGAAGGACATATTTTCTTGCAGCTTTTCCCGCTTTGTGTGATGTTTTCGCCTTTGGCTCACGCAGCCTACGCTTATAGGGCAGTATCATCAATCATCAAGGGGTGAACAAAAATTATCTAGTACTGTGAGGGGTCAGCAGGTCAGGACACATCAGAGCACCTAACAGAGACTTGACGTCTCAACCCCAAAGAGCATATCACCTCACAAAGCAGCCAGTTTAGTTGAAGGTGTTTACGCAGAAAGCGAAAAGACTCCGACCATTGTTTGTCAAACAGATCAGTGCTTGATCTCGGTCAACGTTTGGACAAATCTGGACTAAGTTTTGATGAGCCAAAACTCGAGTCAGTCCTAGGTTTAAGTTGAATATCAATCAATGCTCGTTCAGCTGTACTCATCAATGTTTCACCAAACACAAGAGCAGGCTTGGTCAAGTCTTGACGCCCAAGAGTTTGGCATAAAACCACGGCTGACAAGTCTTTGATCAGGTAACCATGAATTGGTTTGGATTTGTGGTCTGTGGTTTGAAGCCCTGGTTCTCGTTGAGGGCAAATGGGAAACCATCCCTAACCTCACCAATCCACCCCAATGAGGGGGAAACGAATTTCAGGATGCTGGTCACGGAGCCCAGCGTCAGCATCTTCAGTGCACCGCTGAGCTCCACCGAGCTGGCGAAGCTCGGGGCAGAGGCCTTCGATTTCGAGCCCGCGCGGCGCGCCCAATGCAACGAAGTTGGTCAAAAGGAAAGCACTAGTTTATCTTAAAGGGACACCGGGTCAACACCAAAAGGAACCCCAAATGAAAGGTTACCAAAAGGTTGGGGAACATGTTCGGGTGGAACAATTCACAGTCATGAAGAGGATCCTGTTATGGCAAAAGCATGGGGATTGTCTCATGATAGTGGGTCAGGTGGGGCACACACCAAAGCAGAGGTTTTAAGGCCAACTTCTACGGCTCTCACACGAGGGAAATTGCCCCATTTTGTAAATCCCATCCCTCCAGATCATGGCCATTACAACCTTCATTTCCAGGTTATTAATATACATTGCTTTCTGTTGCCGGTTCTAGAGGGAGTTGCCAGTGTACGGTCCCCCCCTGTTTTTGGCGCTGGTGTCAATGTGTGGCACCTGTCAAGGGGGCTCTCGAAGAAGGGTGGGCATACTGTGGGAGACCAGGGCAGAGTGTCGAACCCTGTCGGAGGCTTTCGCGCAACATGCGGCGGAGGTGCCAGGGGTCAGGGAGCGCTTGAGTGAGTTGAAAACTGATCATAGACCTGCTCCCCAAAATTTCTGAACTTGCTGGGACCTTGGGAAGTCTAATTTAGAGCGGTTCCATAAAGGAACTCTTACCTCCCAGCAATCTGAAATGGACAGCTGGTAAAAAGTCGCATTTGCTATGGCCAAACAACCTGAAGAAACTTCGGGTAGGGATTTGACTGAACAAGACAACTAGCACAAAGATTCCTAGTCAGGGCACAACGACTTCCGCATCAAGAATTGTCCGCGGCTGTGAGCATTTGAATAGAGTGTAGGCGTAAGGATATCAACTTTGACTGGGAAGTGGTGGGACATTGGCCACTTGCGCCCAGGTTTTGCAACTCGTGCTTGTTTGCCGCACCGCATGCGGCTATTGGCTCAGAACGGGCAGCATGCAACGCGTGCCAGACATGAACATGAATACAAGGGAAATTGATCCTTTGTCGGCTCCGTCAAGCCCGCTTTGCAGACCAAGAAGGAACCAAGCCTCTGCTCCACAAGAATAGAATTATGTGGATGACTTTGAGATTCAGGCGTTTGACCAACAGCCCGGCTTCTTCAAATTCGGACCCGCAGCCTTAATCGTTTGTTTGGTAAGCAGGCATCCACAAGCTATTGTGTGTACACAGATCCCAACAGCTCAGCGACATTCAGCGTCTTAGCTCTTAAGGGCCCATTCAGTGGATGACTTGCCCATGCCACGTTTACTCGTCTTGCATGGCGAGCGCCTCGCCCTGGCCTCAAAGAACTTGGCACTTGCCGCTATAGACTCTAGATCTAGAGGCCCGGAATTGTTCCAAGATGCCTCCAAGCGAAGGTTCCCGCTGTTTTGCTTCTTGTTTGTTGTTTCTCTGACACTAGCCTAGCCTAAACTGTCCTGTGGTACTCGCTTTCTATGGCAGCTACGCGTCGACCTTGGGCTGATCGAGCGAAGCCGAGGCAGAATGGATGTGGATGAGAGCGATATGCGCGGCAAGGCACATGAGAGCAATAGACGAAGATGCGTAGAGAAGATGCGTGTTTTGTTTGACTTGCCCGGTTACTAAGTTGCATTTAGCGGCTGCGCTTGCCAGATATTGTTGACAAACCAACTTCAGAGCATGGCAATTAGTTAGAGGGCTTCCACGTTGCCTCCCTATTTGCGGTAATTAGAAAGTCAGTCGCACCTGTCACTTTTGGCAAGTAGTTTTTGCCAGACTTCACCAAGAAACAGTGTCCCTGCTTAGCGTGGGTGAACGAACTTTCCCACAGAATCTGTTGGAAAGGCGATTCGGGTCAACCTGACACCGCAGCCTGGTAACCACGGCTCGGTGCGCACGGGGACCGAGACGGTTGGCCGATTGGAGAGCCCCAAGAAGCTTTTGGATGGGCCAGGGCTCAACAAACCAAAAGGAAGCCGACTGGTTCTGGGGTCTCGTGATTTTGGAAGTACCCACATGAAACCAAACAGCTTGCACGTCCAACGACATTTTGACAAAAGGTTACTGAGAAGCTTGGGTTTGTAGATGTGTATAGCCTTTGTGGGGGGGACCGCTTTTTGTGCCATTTTTTTCATCAGTGGCCATGGCTCCAAAAAATGGCACCCAACATGGCACTAGAAACACAGGCTAAAACCTGCGTAGAGCCCAGCTGTTTGATTTGAGCCACCCCCTAGTGAGGCTGAAAAAGCGGGTCAACATGGGTCGAGTCAGAGGCTTTGTTTTTCGACAATTTTGCACCTAGTTTGGGCATTTGCCGACGCGCCCCAGATGTGAAGATCTGCTTGTCAATTCCCAAGGTCAGCATACAGCTGGGTCTGGGGTTGCTTCCGAAGAGTCTACGACACCAGCCCGGCTCCCAGCTGGAATTCTGCGTAGAGAAGAAACAACTCCCCCTCCCCCTGATAGCCGGATCGAAGGAGTCCAACCTGACAAAATTACTTTTGCTCCCCCTGACAAAAAGAACTTGAAATCAAGGGTCAACATGGCTGGTGGGCCAGATCAGGTTTTTTGGACGAACTCTCGAACATCGATCCCGGCACGCGCGCGCCCCCAGGTACATGAAGAGAGCGAGGCGCGGGGAATACTGGCATAACCACTCACACCTCATGAATGTACATTTGCTTCTGGAACCGAAGGCGTATAGCGATGATGACTTGCACGAGGAGTCTGTGGCGTTACTTGGCAAGACAGCGGGAAAAGCAATGAGCAACATGAATGATCATTTGTGAAGTGGATGACAGG